AAAAAAAAAAAAAAAAAAAAAAAGACAGAATCACTCCTCTCTCATGCTCAGTTTTGGCATCCATTTAACCTCACATGTGCCAAGTGTCCATTTCCTGACAGTAGCTTCATCCAGGTCTCCAACCTGTATGACCTGAGCACCCGGAAATCAAAGAGGGTCTGGGAAAGTGGAGGGACACCTTTGTCACTTACTTGTGCATGGGGAGTTTCAGAACCTTGTGGGTGGCCTGGGCTAAAGCCCACACTTACTGTCTGGTAGGGATCTGCATCAGTATGTTGTAATCCTCACTTTGATGTTAGGATCCCTGTGAAGCAAACATTCGGAATACTGCTTTAGGCCATGTATCCTCCAGAACACAAGAATTAAGAAGGTCACTGTGTTTCTTTGTGGAGCCTACTTTCTTCTTTATCTGGGTCCTTGTGGTACACCACTGGCAAATTCTGGTAAGAAAAACTATACTCCTTTGAACAGAAACATGCAGAAGTTGCAAGGGACAATATGGGTAGTGATAGAAACTGGGATAGTAACAAGAATCCCTGACTCTCCATATACAACGGTATGAAAAACATCTTAAAGGCCAGACATCTTACATGATTACTGGTTGATATCAGGAAGAGTCTCTTCTTTCACCTTTGCTGTCACGCGTGTCAAACAGTGGGGAAAAGCCATGAGTGCACAAGGAACCTTATGCAAAGTTCATGCAAAAAAGAAGTTGCCCCATGGATGAAGGAGGTGACATCACACAAGACTTGATCACCAGCCATGCCTTTCCCAGGATACCTGGGAACACAATATGGTAACATTAGATTAGGCAGAGGCTCCTTTTTAGTCTCACTGAGGAACATCAGGCCCTAAGAATGGGCATAGGTCCATTTAGACTTCACTGATCTGAACTTCAAACACTCCTCTACATCACTACCTATACCTACCTGAAAGAAAGTAAAACAACATGCAAAAACCCCAGCATTCAGCAAAAACTCTTTGCTGTGCAGGAACACCTGACCCTTTCCTTGGCCAACTCCACTGGCACAAAAACCTTTCATTGCACCATAATACCAGGGCCAATCCCAGGAGAACTCTTATCATGCAGGCACACTCATCTACAACAACTGTTCAACTGCCAAGATTCCTGTGCTTCCTGCTCAGAAGGCTGTTCCACCACATATCATGGAATATAGGAAAAAGCAGTCCCAAGACACATGGATTCTTCAACATTTATTATTCTCCACACTCTATCAAGGGTAATCTCCTGGTCAATGGGTGGGCTCGGCACCCCATTCATTACACCACTGATCATTTTAATCCAAAGCATGACTATAGCAACTTTCACGAACCACACTGTCATTTATTTAAGTCCACATCTGCACATACCTGAAACTTAGGGATGCTGAACCAGACCACTGATGTTCAAAGACTCACAGTGGGTTCCTCTCTGGAAAAGAGGCCCAGGAAAACCTATCCCCATATATTCTCCTTTTCTATGTTGATCTGCACAATCCCACGTCATCATACCATTGGGGTCCATCGCCACCCTAGAACTCCTCCTACATCCCCATGGGCTACTTGTTCAACAGAAAATAAACCCTCTGGAGGGTTACCTGTTAAATTCCCCTACTAGTTTTCATACAAAATGCATAAAAGCTGCCAGCTAGAAATCAAAAGCACTTGGTGCTCCCTTATGATAGGAAAAAGGCACTGAACACCATACTTGCAAAATAAAGGTGGAAATACCAGAAGTTCACTGTCAGTATTCAAATCTATACCAGATAAAAAGGCTCAGAGGATGAATGGTGCAGAGGCTCTGAACCCTATACTAGTCAAGTCTGAGTGGACGTGCAACCAGAAAATGTGAAAACATCTCGTATGCACACACTCCTAACATCCACCTACATACATCAAGGACAACATGGACTCCAATGAGGTATCAGCATTCTGATGCTTACCTGACATTTTCAAGAGGTTCTGTTCACAGCCTTCTTGATCTCCTGCAGCTCTCTTCAAGAAACATGGAAAAAAAACATGGAGAAGATGGTGTTTGTGCAGAACTGGTGAGCGTTTCCTTCCCCATCTTCCCCCATAAACCATTGAATGACACTACAAACTTACCTAATGCCAGGATGATTGCCAGGGATCCATCCTGGTCCTGAGTCCAACCTCTCCTACATGGATACCTGCAAACTTTCCACTACCCAAGCAGGGTTTCAACACACAAAAAAACCTGGACAGAATCACTCATGCTGTGTTCATAGTTGTGCAATCCATTTGACTTCACCAAAGCCCAGGGTTCCCTCACTGACCATAGTGACAGACCTACCACCAAGGTCTCCATCCTTTTTGACCCAAGCACTTGGAAATGAAGGAGGAGCAAAGGATATTGAGGATAGCTTCATCTCTTACTTGTGCATGGGATGTTGTGGGACCTTGTTGGTGGTCTGGGCAAACGCACATACTTTCCTCAAGTCTATAATTATCTTCATGAGTATCCCTCAATGTGACATCAGGATCACTGTGATTAAACATTGGAAATTTTGCTTTAGGCCATGTTTCTTTCTTCCTGCTCAGGTAATGACTAAAGACATCACTGTTTCTTTGTGGAGCTCGCTTTCTTCTCTGTCTTGATATGTGTGGTTCTCCAGGGACAAATCCCGATAAGAGAAATCTTCCTCCTTTGAAAGGAAATCAGTAGAAGCTACAAGAGACAATATCAGTAGTGGTGTAATCCTGGATACTGACAACAATCTCTGCATCTCCGTATACAACACTAAGCAAAGAAACTACCTTAATGCCCACACATCCTACATCAAAATGTGAGGCTTATTGGTTGATACTGGGAAAGTCTCCCATTTTACCTTCATTGTCACACATGTCAAACAGCAGAGAAAAGCCAAAGGTGCCCAAAGGCCCTTTTGCAATGTTCATATGAAAAGAAGAAATGGTCCCACAGCTGAAGGTTGGTAATATCTCATAAAATCTGATCACCAGCTGGGCCCTTTGCAGGATACCTGGGCACAAACCACAGCAATACCAGGTTAGGCAGAGGCTCCTATTGACATATCTGGGAATATCAGGCCCATAGAACCAGGCTATGTCCACTTTAGGATTTTCCTGATCATTTTCAATCCCACCAAAAAAAAAATTCTCTCCATCACTAGTATACTTACCTGAAGACAGTCAAACAACACAAAGAGATAACGGTGTTATTCAGCAAGCACTTTGCTCTGCAAGAACACCTGGCCCTTACTAGGACATCACCACAGGCACAAAAGGTTTTTCACTCCACAGTGATATCAGAACCAATCGGAATGGAAAACTATCATCCTAAGACACTCATCCTCAATTACTCACCTGCCAAGATTCCTGTGCTTCTTGCTCAGAATGAGCCTGTTCCACCACAATGTCACTGGACCAAAGACAAAGTAACCCCAAGACATATAGATTGCTCAATGTTCAGGTTTCTACAGATTACACTAAGGGAATTGCATTTAGTTACTACATTGGCTTAGTTCTCCCTTCATCACTTCCCTTGGCACTGGCACCCAAAGCACAGACAGGACAACCCACAAGGGCCCCACCATCACTTACTGAAGTCCAGTCAAATCTCCTGACTGGTGCTACAAGGAAGAACTATGCCTACACTTACTTGGAACATGGCAGTGTTCAGCAAGATGGCCTCTCATGGATAATCATGAATTCTGGACCTCTCACTGCAGACGATGCCCCAGATATTCTACCAATTATGTGTCCACTTTTCCATGTCCACTTGCACAATCTCTACATGTTCTATTGTTTATGGTCCATTGCCACTATCGTATGTCCACATTCCTAGGGGATACCTGTGCCTGTGTAAATAGAAACATTAAGGAGATAGTTGGGAAAATGCTCCAAGTCACATATCTGGAAACTGTCCTATGATGATGACCTGTCCCCGCTCTTATTCTCCTACTGAGAACAATATGAAATGTACCAAAATATTCTGAAAGGGCTTCAAAAACAACTGATGATTCCTGATTGGGAAAAGAAGGAACTGAACACCACACCTGCCAAATAAAGGCACAACAGGAAAGGTTCACCATCAATACTCAAAGCTATACTGGGGAGAAAGGATGTGAGGGTGAATGAACCACAGGCTATGAACCTTACATTGGCCATGTCTGGACATGATTATCCTTCCAGTAAATAAGAGAAGCTCCTAATATGCACATACTCTTGATATCCACCTGGATAATGCACATGTTCTCCAACAAGGTACCAAGATCCTGATTCTTACCTGCTATTTGCAAGATGTTCTGTCCACAGTGTTGCTGGAATCTCACTCCTCTCTTTAAGGGAAATGGAAAAGATGGCATCGGTGTAGAGCAGATGAATATTTCAGTGTCCCCATAAGCTACTGAATGACCCTGGAAATTTACCTGGATGTTGGAATGATTACCAAGGAAACAGTCCTGACCCCAGAGTTCAGTGCATCCTATCTGAACACTTGCATATTTTCCTGTTGTGTTCTGGTCCCTGAGCAGGAGGACATCAACAAACTCAAAACCCAGAAAGAATAATTTCTTTATTGCAAAATTTCCTAATTTTACTTGATTTCATCCATCCAAGTGCCCCCTCACAAACAGTAAATTGCCAAGGACACTGTATTTTCTGACCTGAACACCAGCAGATCACAGGATGAGGAGATATTCGGGGACAGCCTCTCCTTCCCTGTACATGTAGAAGTGGTGGAGCCTCACTTCTGCTGTGGGCCCAAGCCTACATTGACTTATGTCTCTATAAATCCACATGAGTATGTTATATGCTTCTCCCGAGTCTAGTATGTGACTACAGGAAGAAGAAGGTGTCCCATGGCTGACAGGAACAAAATCTCACAAGACCTGATCATCAGCAGGGGCCTTCCCATGATACCTGGTAACAATATATGGCAACCCTAGGTTAAGCAGAGGGTCCTTTTAACCTCTCTGAGGAACATCAGGCACTGAGAACTAGCTATGTCCATGTTAGGACTTACCTAACAATTACTAGTCTGGACTCCAAACATTTTTCTACATGTTTGCATATACTTACCTGAAGGGAGGGCTAACAAAAACATGCAAAAACCATAGGATCAACACACACTTTGCCAAGTAGAAACATCAGGATCCATACTTGGCCATCACTACTAGAAAAAAAGGCTTTTAATTTACCTACAGACCAAAACAAATCCAAGGAGAACTTGATCATGCCACACACTGATTCCCATCAACTGATTGTACTTCCAGCTAAGAAGGCTGCTTCACCACCATTGATCCGGGGAAAAAGCCATCCCAAGATACATGGAATCACTCAACATGCATTACCCTGAGCAGTACACCAAGGATAAACTCCTGTCACTGGATTGGCTTAGTACCCTATTCATCACTTCCCTGGGTACCTGCACTCAAAACCCATCCACAATAACACACAGGAACTTAAGGATCACTTACTGAAGTCCATGGAGCTCCTCCATCAAGTTCTATGAGTGAGGCCCACATGTGCCCTTACCTGGAAACTGGCAATGTTCAACGGGATCACCAATGCTTATCGTCTCACACCGTAAAACCTACCCTTTTGTGGTTGCCTTTTCTGTGTCCACCTGAATAATTCCAATGTCGTCATATTACTTAGCATCCATCACCACCTCCATGCTCACAGGCTAGCTGTGCAGCAGTAAATGGACTCCATAAGGAGATTCCTGCCAATCTGCTCCAATCCCTGTCACTAGAACCCAGAGTAGGAAATTTAATTCTTTCTCCACTTATTTCTCTCTTGGGTCTAGTATGAAATACATGAGATGTGCCAGCTAAAATTCAAAAGCACCTGGTTCTCCCTCATGAAAGAAAAGAGGCACTGAACACCACACTTGCCAAATAAAGGCAGAACCATGAGAAGTTCACCACCAGTATTCAATCAAAAAAGCTCTGAGGGTGAATGGGGCATAGGCTCTGAACCCTTGTGTAGCCAAGTGCTATAGTGGATGTGCAACCAGAGAACATGAAAACATCTCATTATGCACACACTGCTGTTTATCCCAGATGACAAAGACCATGGGGTCACCAAGGAGGTATACCACATCCTGGTTCTTACCTGACATCTGCAAGAGGTTCTGTCCATAGCCCACTTGGCATCCCTCATCTCTCTTCAAGGGAGCCTGGGGAAAGCATGAAGAAGATATTGTTGGTATAGAGCATTTCGGTGCCCACATAAACCACTGAATGACACTGGAAACTCGTGTGGATTCTGGGATGATTGCCAGGGAAACAATCCTGTCCCCAGAGTCTGACCTCTCATACCTGGACATATACAAACTCTCTAATGCTTATGGTTCCTTGGGCAGAGCATCAACAAGAAAAAAAAAAGGGCAGAATCACTCCTCCCATACTTATGATTTTGACATCTATTTGACATCACCCATGCCAAAGGTCCCCTTACTATGAGTAAGGATCTCCAAACTATTGGATCTGAGTATTTTGAAATCAAGGAGGAACATAAATGCTGAAAGACACCATCATCGCTCAGGCATAGTTTACAGGAAAAGGTTGGAGGCCTGGGCAAGATCCATGCTTACCTGATGTCTGTAGGGATCTGCATGAGTAACCTGTATTCACTGTGACAACTCAAATCTCTGTGAAGAAAAACATGAAAGTACTGCTTTAAACCACATCTCTTTATACCAACACAGGTGAGAATTATGGGAAGTCCCTGTGTTTCTTTGTGAAGCCCACTTTGTTCTCTATCTGGGTTCTTACAATACTTCATGGGCAAAGCATAGTAAGAGAAATCTTACTCCCTTGACAGGAAACCTGTAGAAGTTGCAAGGGACAGTATAAGTAGTGGTGAAAATCTGGATAATAACAAGAATCCCTGCCTCTCCACGTACAACAGTAAGCATGTAAACTACCTTAAAGACCAGATATCCTACATGAAAATGCAATGCTTACTGGTTGATATTGAGAAGAGTTTTTCATTATACCTTTACTGTCACACACATCAAAAAGCAGGGAAAAGACAAGGGTATCCAAAGGCACGTTTGCAATCTTCATGTGTAAAGAAGTAGTTCTCCCATAGCTGAAGATGGCACATCTCTCAAGACTTGATCTCCAGCAGGGTCCTTTGAAGATACCTGGAGACAAAACAGGTCAACATTAAGTTAGGCATCCTTTTCAAACTTATTAAGGAATATCCGGCCCTGATAACCGGGCTCTGTCCACTTTAGAAGTTAACCGGCCATTTGAAAACCTGAAAACAAGTCTTATTCATCCTTACATATTCCTAAGTGAAAGGAAGTCCAACAACACCATGTGAATGCTATGTCATTCTTCGTGCACTTTGCTCTACAAGAATCTCTGGGCCTTTTATTGGCCATCAACACTGGGATAAATGGCTTTCACTCCAAGATGTTATCAGAATCAATCTAAGGTGTATACTATCATGCTGAGACATGCATCATCATCAAAAGGTCATATGCCAAGATTCCCATGCTTCCTGCTCAGAAGCCTGCTGCATCACAATGTCATTAGAAAAAGGAAAAGCCATCCCACAACACCTGCATCCTTCAACATTCAAATTTCTGCATGTAATATCAAGGTCAAACTCCTGGTCAATAGACTGGTTTAGTTCCTTCATCCATTTCCTGGGCACTTGCACCCAAAGCACAGCCACAATACATGGACCCCATCATCACTTACATGGAGATCCCTGAGGGGTGCTATAGGCAGGACCATACATGCCCTTACCCAGAACCTGGCAATGTTAAAGGAGATAGCCTCTCATAACTAATTGTGAGTTCTGGACCACTCACTGGAAAAGATGCCTCAGATATTCTATCCATTGCCCATCCATTTTTCCATGTCCACCTGCCAAATTGCCACATTATCATATTATTTATGGTCCACTGCCACTACTAGACACACTTGAGATCGCTGCCAAACAGCTCCATGTCGTTTTTCTGGAATTAACCTTATGACAATGATCTATTACCTGAGTCATTCTCATACTGGCTACAGTATGAAATGTACCAGATATCCTGAAAAGGAGTCAAAAGCGCCTGATGTTCCCTGACAATAACAAGAAGGCACTGAACACTACACCTGACACAAAAAGGCAGAACCAAGAAAGGTTCACCATTTATACGCTAATCTATATCAGAAAAAAAAGGCTCTGAAGGGGAATGGGGCATAGCTATAAACCCTACACCAGCCACATCCTAAAATGATTATGCTTCCAGTAAACATACTGTGCACACACTCTTGACATCCCCTTGGATACCAAGAACAATGTGTTACCACCATCATGATTCTTACCTGATATTTACAACAGTTTCTGTCATTGGCCTTCTTGGAACTGTACACCTCTCTTCAAGAAAACTGAAAAAAACACAGAGAAGATGGTATCAGCGTAGAGCCTGTGAGTATTTCAGTGACTCTGTAAACCACTGTATTACCCTAGAAATTAACCTGAATGCTAGGACATTTGCTCGGGAAAGTGTCCTGGATTCTTACCTGGACACCTCAAAACTCTCTGTACCTATTGGTCCCAAGGCAGGATTTCAACACACACACACACACACACACACACAAAACCTGGACACAATAACTGCTATCCTATCATTTCCACATCCATTTGACCTCACCCATTTCAAGTTCCTACTTATAGAGAGCAACATTACCAATGGTGCTATTTTTTCTGATCTGAGAACCTTCAAATAATGAGGGGTCCAGGAATACATGGGGACAGCCTCTTCTACCCCATATGCATGTGGAGGTGGTGGAGCCTCATTGCTGCCCTGGGCCTAAGTCCACACTTACTCGATATTTCTAGAAATCTTCTTGAGTATGTTGTAAGCCTTGCTGTGACTACACGATCCCTGTGAAAGACATAGCAGGAATACTGATACACTGTTCCTAACACCAGCACATGGAAGAAATGAGACCACTGTGTTTGTTTGCTGAGCCCACTTGCTTCACTGCATGACTCCTTGCAGAACTCCATGGACAAAGCCTGGTAAGAAAAATCTTACCATCTTCACGGAAACCTAGAGAAGTTGCAAGGGTCAATATCCATTGAAGTAGTAACATCCTGCATATTAAAAATAATCCCTGCATCTTGATAAATGGCTGGAGTATGGAAAATGCCTTATGAGCCAGCAATCCCAGAAGAAAATGCAATACTCACCTGTGGCCATGGACAAGCGTCTCTTGATTTACCTTTGCTGTCACACATGTTAAGTAGCAGGCAAAAGACAAAACTGAAAAAGAGCTCTTGCAATGTTTATGTGAAAAGAAGTCCTGTGGCTGAAAGTAGCAGCATCTCACAACAACTGATCATGAGCTAGGCCTTTTCAAAGAAATCTGGGACCAAATATGGCAACAATAGGTTAGGCAGTGGCTTCATTTCAACATTGTTAAAGAACACCAAGTCCCCTGAGGACCAGCCTGTGTCCATGCTAGAACTTACCTGATCATCAGCAATCTCCAATCCAAACACTTTTGTACATCTCTGCATATACTGACCTGAAGAAAGTCCAACAGCAACATGTGAAAACCATATCATTCAGGATGCGCTTTGCTCTGCAAGAACAAATGGCCTAGTCTTGGCCATCACCAATGGCACAAAAAGCTTTCACTCCACAATGATACCAGAACCAATCAGAGGTTAGAACTCTATCATCCCCAGACACTCATCTTCATCAGTTGGTCACCTGTCAAGATTTCTATGCTTCCTACTCAGAAGGCTGCTCTACCACAATGTCACTGGATCAAGGAAAAAGCAATCCCAAGATATACAGATCCTTCAACATTCATTATCCTGCACCCTCTACCAAGGGAAAACTCCTGGTCACTCTGTTGGCTTAGCACCACATTCATTATTTCCTATGCTTGTACGCTCAACACACAATCACAGAAACATACAGGAAGCCTACCATCTCTTCCTAAAATCCATGGGGATCCCCTGATATGAGGAAGGACCACATCTTCCTGTATCTGCAACCTGGTGATGTTCAATAGTTTCACCAATTTTTACAGGCTCACAGTGAGTTCTAGATGCCTCAATGAAAAAGGGACTCAGAATAATCTGTCTTTTACTGGTCTCCTTTATGTGTCCACCTTCGTATTACCTTGTTACCTTTTTACTTGGGGTCTATCCCCGATTCCAGACTCCTACATTTCTATAGTCTACCTGTACTACAGTAAATGGAACCTCTGATGAGATAATTTTCAAATTGCTACAGTCCTTGTCCTTAGAACCCAACCTAGAAAAATAACCTCCTGGCTTGCTTATTCCCTTACTGGGTCTAGTATGGAATATGACAGACATGCCAGCTAGAATTTAAAAGCATCTGGTGCTCCCTTGTGACAGCAAGAAGGCACTGAGTATCACATTTGCCAAATAAAATTGGAACCATCAAAATGCCACCTTCCATACTCATATCTGTATCAGACACGAAGTCTCTGAGGGTAAACGGGGCATAGGCTCTCAACCCTACATTAGCCACATCCTGAAGTGACTGTGCCTCCAGTAAACTTGAGAAAATTTCATTATGCACATGCTCCTGACATCCACCTATAAGGAATATGTGATCCCCAAAGTGATACCAGCAACTCACCTGACATTTGCAACAGGTTCTGCACATAATTTTCTTGATATCCTGTACTTCTCTTCAGGGGAACCAGGAAAAAATATGGAGAAGAAACAGTTTATTTAGAGTCAATAAAAACGTTGGTGCACCCATAAACCATTGAAGAACACTGAAAATGTACCTGGATGCTGGGGTGAATGCTAGCGACACCATCCTGTCCCAAGAATTCAATATCTCATAGCTGGACACCTGCAAAATCTCCAATGCTTACAACTCCCCATGAAGGGCCTCAACAAGGCATGAAAATCTGGACAGAACAATCCTTCCATGCTCACAGTTTGGCATCCATTTGACCACGCCCTTGTCAAAGTGTCCATTTACTGGGAATAGCATCATTGAGGACTCCATCCTTTCTAGGGCTAGGGCTAGGAATGCCGAGGTACCCCTTCATCACTTACTTGCGCAGAAGGAGTTTGCAGAACCTTGTTGGTAGTATGGACCAAGGCCTACACTTACCTGCTATCTGTAGGAATCTGCACGAGTACTCTGTACTCCTCCAGCGATATCAGGATCCAATAATATTTTCCCACACAACATCGAGAATACTGCTTTAGACAAAGTCTTCTTGCACCTGCACAGGTGAGAGTTACAGAAGTCATAGTTTTTTTTTGTGTAGTCTACTGTCTTCTCTATCCAGGTCCTTGTGTTACTTCATGGACAAAGCCTGGTAAAAGTTATCTTACTCCCTTGAAGGGAAATCTACAGAAGTTGCAAAGGATAATACATCAGGAGTGGTGGAAACCTGGATATTAACAAGAATCCCTGCCTCTCCACATACAACAGTAAGAACAGAAACTACCTTAAGGGGCAGCATCCTACAATAAAATGTGATACTAGGAGTTGATATTGTAAAAAGTCTCTTGTTTTACATTTGCTATCACATATGTCAAACACCAGGGAAAAGATAATAGTTGTCAAAGGTCCTTTTGCACTGTTTATTTGAAACAAAGGTGAACCTTTTCAGCTGAAAATGGCAACATTTCACAAGACCTAATCACCAGATGGGCCAGTCCCAGGATACCTGGTGATGAATCATGCCATCCTACATTTCTGTTCAAGGGATTCTAGAAAAACATGGAGAAGAGGTGTCAGTGTAGAGCCCATAAGCATTTTGGAACACCCATTAACTATTGTATGACACTGGAACTGGATGCTGGGATGACTGCCAGAGAAAAAGTCCTGTTTCATAAGTTGAACATCTCCTACTTACCTGGACATTCCATGTGCCCTATCACATGACAGTAAAATTGCCAAAGATGCTATCCCTTCTGACATAAGCACTTTCAAATTCTGAGTGGAACACTCAGGGACAGCTGCTCATTTACCTGTACATGTGGAGGTGGTGGGACCTCATTACTTAACCATCAGCAATTTCTATTCCAAAAACTTTTCTGTACTGATGTATATACCTACCT